GCAGCAGCAGCCACACCGTCCATCTTCAATGAGGAACAAATACCATCTATCCAGCGCCCTCGGAATCATTGAATATACTACCCAATCATAATACCGATTAATCACTTTACACAACACAAACCTACTTATGCCACAAGTACTAACTACAATAGTCACATTCCTCTAAGTACGTAAGCGGAAGCCAACCAACCTGACCTACTTAACCTCGGATACGCCCGGCGCAACCGGACAATTTATGCAAACCAACCAATCTCAATAATGGTAAGTAACCAACTACTAACAAACTATCGCTTAGCAAGTGCCCCAGCCCCGGGCAGCGGTTCACACGACGATTAGGGCTGAGACGCGCGCGCGCGAGACAACAATAACTAGTCTACTTAGTTATCTGTTCTTGGTCCCGTGGAACGGCTATTAATTTTTCTTTTTTCGGAATTCCTCGGAGGGTCTAAAGTAGAATGAATGGATCCGAGCCGAAACAATCATCGACAACCATAGGCCGAGATATTTCCTGTTTCCGACGGCGGCGGAGAGTCTTACATGGTTTTGGTTGCGTTGACGAGGAACACTAGTTGGGTTTGTGTTAGTTGCGCTAAATGTCTTAGTGCTTCCGTTCCGTCCGTCCGTCCGTGTGCCGGGGTGTCACGTGTGATTATGCTGGATTGGGGTGGCTTTTCTATAAGTTATTATTTATTATATTGAATTGTCTTATATGTGAATGAGTGTAGATGCATATTATGCTTATAATTAGAGTTTGATCATATTTGTCGGCCATAAATCATAAATCGTCTCTACCAATGTCGGACACTAACCAGGACTTGTTCTCTCGGATCCAACTGGATGGATGATTGCTGTCCTGTCACTAATCCGAGGCGCGTGAGGATCTGCCATACTAGCTTGCGCTTCAGGTTCTCTCGGACGGGAATCTTCTCGAGCGCGTCATAGCCGTTGAAGTATTTGATAAAGGTCGGCCAGTACTTTTTGAGGGATGTCCGAAGTCCCGCGTATTCAAGGTCCCCGTCGGGGACTTCGCCTTGAAGTTCGGGGAATCGTGCCATGAGCTCGCCTAACCATCGGGATTCCAGTGGTGATGCACGGTGCGGGTACAGAATGAGCGACGATGTCTTCAAGGACGTGTTCTGGTCCAGGAGAGAATGGGAGAGGTCGAGCTCGTTGTTCCGTTTGTACCGACCTGGCATGGGCGTTTCATCACCGCTTTCGTTGCTGTCTAGTGATGATGACGAAGAGGAACTGGCATCATCAAGGTCCTCCTTGGTCTCGGTATCTGACGCTGATCCCCTCTTGCTCAAGTATTTGTCAACTTCTTCCTGCCGAAGGGCCGTCTCCACAGCCATCTTGATTTCAGGACTTATTTTGACTCTTGCAAAGGCCCGCAATTGAGTGACCCAGCCACCTCGTAGTAGCCACGCTAAGATGGCGAAGTATGTGTCTTTATGGTCTTTGCTTGGGATGAAACTTCCGTACGGTCTGGGCGTTCCGCTCATCGCTGATAGCATCTTTGGGAGACTCGGGAGGGTCGGGAACGCTGCTTGATAAGCTGCCGTGGCTACCTCAAGCTTGCTCAGATCGCAGTTTGGTGATACGACATAAGTGTCCCTCTGATGGAGTGGAGGGATTGCTCGCGCTCTTCTCCAATACACAAGATGGCTAGCCAGCATCTGGATTGTGGAAAGCGGTATGCCAGAGGACACAGATATCTGCGCAAATGACTTCGTCGGCTTCGAGCATCGGATATAATGGGCAAGCGCCGGAGCCAGAGCACCCCCGGATGCTTCAACGTCTTTGAGAATTGATGCCTCATTGTCCAGCAATAAGAGCGCAAAATGTTTAGCAAGCACTTGATGGGGGGCGGTGTTCTCATCAGCAGTGGGATCATCGACCGGAGTGACACTGTCCGCCGTTGTAAGCCAGAGACCCGGATATGCCTTGTCAGTCGGTCCAGGAAGCCATGGCGTCGAAGTTAAAGGAGGTATCTGGAGCGAGATGGACACATCTGGACTCAGGGACACCGACGCAATCTTCGATGCCGATATGCTGGTGAACACAGTGCAGATAGCTCTTGCAAGTGAGGACTGGCTGATTAGCTCCGAATAGAGGCTATTCACGGACATTCCTGCTCGTCACTCGGTCAGCAACCAAATTCATTCCATATCGACAGGACCACATACGCTTCTCCTTAGCCTTCTCCTTGATATGTGAGATATGCTGCGCCTCCTTCCAAACATAATCCGTCCTAGCCTGCTCCCACTTCAGCGCCTTGGAGAACTTCTTAATAATATTATCGTAAATCTCCCTCAACCGCATGGAATATTCCAACAACGGCGGATCCAAAACAAACACGACATTAAACATAGTCATGCAATCCTTATCATCCGGATCCAGCGCCTCACTCAACGTCCTGAACGACCTAACACTAATCATCGAGGTCCGCTGATAATCAGTACTAGCCATCTGCTTCGGACTCAACGTCTCCGTCGAAGCAGCAATAAGATCCGTACCCCGATCAGGGCTATCATCCTCAGCCTCGGCCTCATCACCCCCATCTCCATCCCCAGGAGCCTCATTATGTCCTAGTTCCGCTCCCTCCCAAGTCGCACGAGGCTTCCTCTTCTTCCTCCTCTGCTTCCTCCACGTGCCATCCTCACGCACAAAAACCGGCCACCCCACAAACGCCAAATCATTAATCCCGACCTCAAACCGCCGCTTATGCCACGACCGCGACGGACTCAACAACTTCTCCCAGACATCCGCAGGGAGCCCCAATAATGACTCCCAGGGGGGCCGAAACGGCCCGGCCTCATCCTCCTGTCTATCCGACGCAGCGCCCGCATCCTCCTCCGCATCGGAATTTGTCCCTCGTTTCCGCATCATCAGCCCCCTCCCGGACCCTACTGAACCTGCGCGCTGGGACTCTCCGCCCGGCGAGCCGGATATAATTCCATCGTCGACAACACCGAAGTTACTCGACCGTCTTCCTGCCACGGGGTGACTGCCTGCGATGTGCGAGGCGTTCTGGGTGGAATTGGCTGGCTGTGTCGCAGTCCCTGTGGTTGTGGTGGCAGCTGCAGCAGTTGCAGTTATTGGTGTCTCGTCTTCATCTTCGCTAGATGTGGAGCTGCTGTCTTCGCTGGAGCTGGAATCGTTGCTCTTGGAATAATTCTTCCGTGACGGTCGTCGCGCTTTGGGCGCCCCTCGGAGTCCGTTCTCGCTGAGCGGGTTGGGTGGGTAATGGAAGACGAAGCGCGGACCGGCTCGTGAGCGCACTATTAGAATGATTGCTACCAGGCAGGGGTCTGGTGGCCGTGCAATGGACGACATCGGTCGTGGGTGGTGGTTGGGAGTTGGATTGCTGGGAGCAATTGGGTGACTTCGATGGGACGGGCGGAGAGTGATTTGATCGTTTTGGGGTTGGTGTTCTGGCGGGTCGGCTTCCCCGCATGACATTGCATGGTTACGTTGTTTTTGCTTCGACGTTATGGAGCAGGCAATTTGTCAAGAATTGTACCTATATTTCTTTCTCAACATTTATCTAGGTATACTTGAAATGAATGCACATCAAAGTCAGGTATGATACACAAGCTATATACAGAACCGCAATCCCAACGCCGGAAATGGAGAAGTATCTATCCATCCATCCATCATCAATCATCGAACACAAAAGTACCCTATTTATACAGAGGCCATGTCATCCCCCAATATCATACAGCTCCCCAAGATATCTAGCATATAAGTCCGGCAGGAGAGAACTATGCCTTCTTCTCCGCACCCTCAGCACCCGCACTCGATGTAGCCTTATCCTTCTCGAAAACCAACCCGAGGTTCTTGAAGTCGTCCGGTGCCATAAGATTGCTAGAGGCGAATCGCAAGTAATTAGCCATGACTCCTTCAATAGCGTATATGCAGAGCAGGAACATACTGGTCCATCCGACAAGACAGATACGACTTGGCAAGTTTCCGGCACTCGTCGTCGTTCACACCTCGTCTCAATTTCAGGCACTTGAGGTAGTTGGTGATGAGGTGCTTGCATTCGCCTGGTTCAGCAGTAGAAGAGTGATATGTCAGTTATAGGTCTGTGTCGAATGGGTAGATAGAGAAAGGATTCGCGCAGGGTTCAATGCTGCCGACGAGGCGGGATAGGCTAGCCTGCAAGTTGGGCGGAAATGAAGGGAGGACTACCATCATGATCAAGAGGGAAGCTGCCACGCTCGGGACTAACTCATTGGGAGATTATTAGCTCAGTTTGTTTCTTCCGGGACTGTTCACTGTCTATAGGCATATTCCAAAGCCGGGAAGGGTATAACTCACGGCGTAGGCTTCATGGGGGCGGCACCGCCACCGGGAGCTCCGAAACCCATGATGACAGAGTAGTATGTATATTCCGAAGCTGAGCAATTAACTGATGACGACTGAATAATTGACTGGCTCAATATGTCGTCCTCCGTATCTGACAATTGCCGGACTCGATAGTTGCTGAAAAACGGCACGGCGAGCGGTCCGATAAGAACAAACAAGACAATCGTGACAAACATGCAGACAAACAGAGCAAACATCTGCTGATGTATGAAGTGTCATGCAATAAGATAACGCAGAGATAATGAGCTCGTGACTCTAAACTCTCTATAGTACTGTGCCAGTATATTCTATTATGTACCAACTATGTCCTCATTGTATACCATTAAGGAAGTTTCTCTAGTTGTACTGGAATAGCAAAATGCGGGGTACCCAACCGTAAAACGATGCAACAACAACATGCAGAGGTGAAAAATGATAGACCAATGGATAAAGAGTAAGCGACGATAGCTGCATGGTATCCAGTGCTATCCGAGCGTCGCGGCGAATCCAAGTTTGCATGTGCGGAGTCATTGACCCAGCCCCTCATGGATCCAGACAATCCGAGTTTGCATGATAGGCCTCTTATATACCAATGACGTTGTTGCATCTGAGGCCGTTCCGGATATGGTCCTGGTATATAAGTAGATAGTCAGTCGCAATCCTTTGTCCTGTCGAACAAGATTCGATTACTATCAGTAGTACAAGTCACGCTTCGCACTTGACAATACTATACTATTCTCCCGAATACGTACTTGACCACTTGACCAATATGCCGATGTAGGACCCCGCCATACTTATGAACTCTCGTGTACACGACACAGACTTGATACGAGCAGTATTCGTTGAACAGATACTAACAAAGAAGACAGGAAGCTTGAAGGCAGTTGCCAGTGTGGCAGCGTTGAGTTCACACTCGAATCCTCAACCCCAGTTCCCTATCAACTATGCGCCTGTAGCATTTGCCGGAAGGTCGGCGGATACAGTGGCAGTGTCAATCTGGGCGGTATTGCCGATAGTCTGGAGATCAAGAAGGGAAAGGACTTGATCAAGTATGTCATGCCAGTCTTCTGTTCAAATATGCGGTCTTTTGCCTGCTTTCGAATATTCTATGCGACTGTTGAAGATGGCAGTTCAGAGCTGACCGATTTAGGAAATATTCCGCCGTCATGGCCAGAGGCACACCGGATGAGAAGATCTGTGCGTCGGAGCGGAATTTCTGTTCCAATTGCAGCACCATGCTTTGGCTGTGGGATCACCATTGGCCGGAGCTCATTCATCCTTTTGCTTCGGCCATTGACACGGAACTGCCGGTCCCTGATGAGATGGTCTGCATCATGGAGAGCTCTAAGCCGGCTTGGGTGCGATGGCCAGAGGGCAAGAAGCAGGTATTTGATGGTTACCCGGAGCATAGCTTGGAAGACTGGCACAAGAAGCACGGATTGTTCTTCGAGTAGGTGACACTTCAGGTGGCGATGATACGAAGTTTTACGAGATGGGGACTATGTTTTACAGAAAAGTGGGAGCATTGTTTGGAGACTTGAACTCAATATCATTATCATTATCATTAAAGTAGCTATCCATAGGCGAGTGACCTGCACAATGCAATGTTAGCAGCTGTATAAACAGACACTGATGCATAAATGTGTATGGGTGAGAAGTTCAGGTCTCCAAGGTGAATCTTTGTTGTTTCGTCAAGGTGGTTCGGTAAGAACACAGCGATTTAAGAATTCATCATGCAAAAATGAAGAAAACACGACAGGGAACACTCACACTTTGGAAGCTTAAAGAAAAATCTACAAGATGTTCCCTATTACTTTTCGACAAAGTTAGCATCACATGCAAGACATAGCATGAGTGACACAAGCATTGAGATGTCAACGAAGTCAGGCTATGGAACAGGTTAGCAAAGGCACATTATTATCAGGGGTATTGTCACTACCAACCTCATTAAATCAGATTTTTTTGTAACATGTTCATTTCCAAACACATGGCGTGCAGGATCAAACAGTGTGAATAACAAGATTCATCATGTAATGTTGACTTTGGGTATATGGGCATATGGAGAGGTTGTTGAAGAGTGACAGTACCTGTCATGACTTGTTAGTATGACTTGGATCGACATTTTCTGGTAATCGCAGAACGATCGATGAAAGCTCAGGTGACGAGTTCTCAACAATGTGTACACTTCCCCAACACCCGCAAAGTTTGTACGCTTTGCTTTTAATGGATGCGGGTCAATGCACACGTTCTGTCCGCCCGTTCGTTCAAAGTATCTTCATCGACGGCCAATAATGGCATAGAGATGGAATGGTTGGTATTTACCTATCACCAGCAAGTTAGCAATGGTCACAAACAGGCTGAGTGAAGCAATGAAGTTATTTTGGAGTTGTCAGACAAGGCTGAAACTTGAGTTAAAACACGAATTCCACATAGTGATTAAGTTTGAGGAATGCCTTAAAGCGTGTCATAGGGTCATCATACAAGGGGAGGAGGAACATAAAGAAACAAGTTGCGCTCGCATACCTTTTAGAATACACAATCGTGCATCATGTTGTCAATCATCATTGACTGTATTGAGCATTCCAGTAAACCAACTTGAGCAAGTTGGGTTGTCGACTAGTGCATCTTGTTGATGCGGTTGCAAGCTTGGGCAAGTTGAGAAAAAAATTATTGTGGGTTGCGCCGCGGTTTTATAGGTGGGCAGTTAACACCACGGCTAGCGAGTATCACCAAGAGCGTTGTTTGACCGGAAAACAAACACTTCAATGTCGAGGACCCACCCAACTAGTACCATTACTGCTACATCTCTTACTGTCTAGAAAAAGCGCATCTACAAGCTTTCAAAAGCTATAAGAGTTGGCAGAATTGAAGCAATCAGTCATTAATTGATATTGACTGGGTCGCCCAATGATGGCTTGCTCGATCCCGTAGGGTAATGCCTCATGAACTCTACGCTTTCCTACATCAAACCCGCTGGTCCTAGCGGAGGACTTGATTAGTTCTGGTCTCGTCGCTGAAAAGGCTAGGGATAGGGGTATCAAATTGGTGGAAACCGTACAATACTTGGAGATTTACTCATGGGCTGGGTACCAGATTTAGCCTCTATTCCAAGCTGATTATATTGCCTAAACACTTCAACGGACCCTTTAACACAATATTCTCCTTATCACTATCTACTGTTACCAAGCTGCAATGATTCAGCTAGTCTTCCAGATCATTAAGACCAAGATGATGGGACAGTAGCACGTCAAAGTTTTGAACTATCGCATATATGTCGCCGTGGATGCTAAATCCCCAACTAGATACACCGAAGTCTACCCAGAGGTGATGAGAGGCCTGCTTCAGATGGCAATTAGTCGGATATCGACCAAATCCGTCAATGGACTACTGACGAAGTATACCGCATTGTTGATGTTTTCAGTGCTGTTCCTTTCTACCTGACTCGTGGGAGGGCTTCGTGATGATGTGATGCGTTCCATGCAAGGCATGCTTCATTCTTACACTCACCTACAGTGTCTAGACCGATCGCACGTATCCACTTCTATAAAGTACCTGCGTGCAAAAGACCGTGCCAAAGGTGGAGGTATAGAGAGATTGGCAAGACGTCAAAGCGAAAATTGCAAAAGTCCAACAGATGACCACAAGATAGATCGGGCTCAAGGACCTAGCGAAAGCTGAAACTGTCTTGAGCTAACAGAAGAGAAGGGTTGGGGCAAAGACCGGTCAGCAAGGCATCCTGCATGGCTCAATAACTCACTGATAGGACCGACCATCCATGGATTGTTGACATGCCTACTAAGCCTTATGGTTGATGCCCCGAAGCGGACGCCATGTCAACTAGCAACTGATTTGCAGTTTTCAATCATTCCACTATGATCGATTTGCTCTACCTCAAAGAGAATAGAAAGCTGTCAAAGCTTTCATGGGCCTGTCCCACGAGCATATACACCCAATGGATTTCGGCCATCGTGGCTCACAAAGAGTGGGATGTTGGCCATAGTAGTTTCAAACTTCGAAGGAAAACATCGTATGGCAACAGGTAGTACACCGAGAGACCGTCTTAGTAAGTTTCTGCAGCTATCTAGTACTTACCCAACGCTTTGCCTGTCTGGATTTGCTGTGTGCAGAGCGACCCAACATCAGGATATATTGACTAGACCCACAGTGGATGATTGGTACCTGCTTGGTAACACAATGAGGTAAACCCCGTCGAGCACGCCTTTGGCGCAAAGTATGTCGGACTTCGAATCGTCCAGAAACGCTCGAGTAATGCTCCCTGATTGCGATTTGTTGAAACATTAGCTGTGTAAGCTCCGCTGAGGGCCAGTCTGGATCGGAGCTTTAGTGGGTCCGTCTCAAAACGTCATCGGCCCTCTCCCGACAGAAACCCAAAGTTCTATCTGCGTCAGTTTGACGTCGATCCATGTTTATGATGCTGCATTCACCAGGATTTTGTAATGCCATTATGCGCTGGGAGATGGCCATAAATGGGGCCTTCTTCCCGGCCAGCCATTGTTCACCAGCACATAATACCAATACCCATTGACTCAACCATACTTCAATTGACGCATACTACTCAAAATGACGACCACATTCAAGCTCAACACCGGCGCTCAAATCCCCGCCGTTGGTTTTGGAACCTGGCAAGACGCAGAGGCACAGGAGCAAGCTGTCCTTGAAGCCATCAAGGCGGGCTACCGCCACATTGACACTGCTAGAATGTGAGTTCTCATGCTCAATTCATCGAATTAATCGGTATGCTGACATAATTTTGCAGTTATGGAACAGAAGAGGCCGTAGGCAAAGCTATCAAGAAGTCTGGCGTGCCTCGTGACCAGCTTTTCATCACTACCAAGCTCTGGAACAACAAGCATCACCCCGACGATGTAGCGCAGGCGCTTCAGGACTCGTTGAACGACCTCGACTTGGAATATGTCGATCTATTCTTGATGCATTGGCCTGTGGCCTTCAAGAGAGGAACTGAAAAGTTCCCCAAGAACGAGAGTGGCAAGCCAGCTGTGGAGGATACTGACTACGTCGATGTATGTATTTCATCCCCATACACAACACCAACTATGCCCGATGAATGCGCTAACTTACCATCTCTGGTAGACATACAAATCCATGGAGAAGCTCCTTTCAACCGGAAAGGTGAAAGCCATTGGCGTCTCCAACTTCTCCAAGTCAGAGATGGAACGTCTCCTTCAGAACAGCTCCGTCGTCCCTGCAGTCCACCAGCTCGAAAGCCACCCATGGCTGCAACAGCGTAGCTTCGCCGACTGGCACAAGTCAAAGGGCATCCATGTCACCCACTACTCTCCCTTCGGAAACCAGAACGAGCTATACTCCCGCGAGGGCACAATTGGCAAGCTGATTGATGATCCCGTGCTGGTTGAGATTGGAAAGAAGTACAACAAGAGCTCTGCGCAAGTAGCACTCGGTAGGTCCCCATCATCTATCTGCGCGAAGAAAGAAGCTAACGCTCTGTAGCCTGGGGCATCAATGAAGGACACTCAGTACTTCCCAAGTCAAAGACTCCATCTCGTATCAAAGACAACCTCCAAGGCGACTTCAAGCTAGACGCCGAGGATCTCCAGAAGATCCGGGGCATTGACCGTAAGCTGCGCTTCAACGACAGCAGCGCCGACTTTGGCCGAGAATTCTTCGGCGACTTGGACGGCAAGCAGAAATAGATTGGTATCTTGCAGCTTACATGTCTATTAATTCTAAATGAGGAAACGAAATGCAACGAATAATATATTACTCATATTTATGTGCTCCCCTCAACACCCCCACGAACCTCGTGTTCACCATCCATCGTAAATATAGCGTAGATCAGCAAGGTAGCAGAATTAAAGTTCAATGAACGATGCCGTACCACTATCCCGACAATTTGGGGTCAGAACTGCCTAGCCTCGTAGCCTTTGCCATTCTCATCTGGTCGGGTCACCTGCCATACACATAGTTACTTCCATACGAGCCGAGTAGCTAGCTAGCTACCTACTTGTGCTTCTCAACTCCGCAATAATTCCACCCCATCATATCCAATCATCCAGCTCCCACATACATACCAACACCAATAATAACAATCATCTAACTCCATACTATATATACTAAGCAACAATGCCACCCTCCAAATCAGAAGACACCCCTCCCCCCGCACCCCATCGTCATCAACTCTCCTACCGAAACTTCTCCAAGCGCCTAATCCTTTCCTACATACTCGACTGGATTCTCATAATGTACGTCCACCCCAAACCAGCCACCCCAAAAACCAGACACTGCTAACCGAACAATACTACTCCAGCGGAGTCGCCCTCATCGGCTACGGCTTCAACCAAACAACCCCCAATCACCGACCCTTCTCCCTCACCGACCCGAGCATCTCCTTCCCCCACAGGGAAAAGGATACCGTCTCAACGGGCGTGCTAGCCGTGGTTGCGGTAGTAGCTCCAGCTGTGATCATCATCGTCGTTTCCATTCTCTTCATCAATCCTGCTACTACCAGCATAGCTGGTACTAGTGTTCAAAATGCTCGAACAGAAGCTCTAAGAAGGAAGTTTATGGTCAAGTTTTGGGAATGGCATGCAGGATGGATGGGATTAGGAGTTGCTCTTGCGGGTACGTTCATGGCTACGGAGGGACTTAAGGATCTATATGGGAAGCCGAGACCGGATATGCTGGCTAGGTGTGACCCGGATTTATCTGCGGTTAATGAGTATGCGGTTTCGGGGTTGGGTGGGAGAATTGCGGGGGCGCCTACGATGGTGACGTGGGATATATGCCGGAATAAGGGGGATGAGATGCTAAAGGTGGATGGGTTTGCTAGTTTTCCGAGTGGGCATTCCTCTAGTGAGTTTTATTTCATTATCAAGTTGGGAGCTGATCTGACATGCGAATTATCTAGTGTCGTTCGCGGGATTGATGTATCTCGCTCTTTGGTTAAGTGCTAAATTCTCCATTGGATTCCCGTTCCTGGCGTATTCGCCGCTCAGCCAGGATCTGCAAAGACAGGACCGTGGGAAGATTCGAAACCAGGGTGCCGCTCCTCCTGTCTATATGCTCATCGTTGCATTAGTGCCCATTGCGGTGGCCTTCTTCATCTCTGCATCGCGTTGGTTTGATTATCGTCATCATGGTTTCGATATCATATTCGGATCGGTCATGGGAATAGTCTTCGCGTGGATTGGTTTTCGATTATATCAGCTGCCCATTATTCGCGGTGCTGGCTGGTCGTGGGGAGCTAGGAGTCGCAAACATGCGTTCTTCATGGGAGTTGGACAGCCGAGCCACGTTTCTGCCGATAACTGGGTCATGATGAGCGACAAACGTGATACTGTAGAGAGCAGCACGCAAAACGTTGATCTGGAAAGCGGTCGACCGGACCCGGATGAGCGATGAGCAATGGCCCTCCGCACTGTGGTTAGAGCTTGACAAAATATTCACCAGCTTGTCGGCTTCAGTAGACTTTGTCTCCTTCTGCACCATCGCGTTCAGTGATATGAATTTATGCAGAGAATGGGCTAGGTGATGCCATAGTCGAACCATGACCTCGATCAAAGCCGGTACTTCATCACCTCCATCAAGTTGCCAAACCAACACGAATATCACCTCCACCCACCAACCCTTCCCTCATCCCATCTAGCTTTGGCCTCTCTCCTAGCCGCCAACTTGGCCGATTCCGCTCTGACCCGTCTAATCCAATCACCAACCTCCTTCTCAGTCGCCCGTCCATGATGTTCCTCCTCCAAAAAGCTCTCTTCGACTGCCTGACAGACCGCCTCCTGCTCTGCAATCGAAGCAGCCAGCCGCTGATACAAAGCCTTAGGCGACCACGGCGCCAGCGCAGCATCCATCTCAGACTGCTTTTTCCGCCAGGAGACCTCAAGCGACTGATGCGTCAGAAGAAGTGTTTCGGTAGAAGAGCGTAGTTCCCCGACATGAGACTGCAGCTCCAGCAAACGGTTCGCAAGGTCTTTATTGTATTTCAGAAGAGTTTGTAGGTTATCCTGATGCGCCGTATACGAAGGATGGTTACTGGAGAGGGCGGAGATAAGATTAGGATCTTGGAGGATAGTCTGGAGATCGACAGTCCTGTCATCACAAAAAGAAAATATCCATTAGCCCATACCCCAACACCACAGCAAGGAATAGAAGTAAACGTACGCTTTCTCCTTCACACCAGCAGGCAACCAACCCTCCTCCACCGTCGGCTTAGGTAGCGCATTCAGCGAGGCAGTGGGGTTGAATGTCGCCGGAGAAGAAGAGTATCTCTGTCCCTGCATATTCAAGCGGTCCTGTGCATAATGTCCTTCCTGGTACTGTTGTGGTGTTCCTGGATGCGACGGGGTGCCCCTTCGACTGGCTTCGTGGCTGCTGGGTTTCGGGGGAGGCGGGGGAGGAGTGTCCGGGTTAAGCGCTGGGTTCATGGCGAATGGAAGGGACCTCCAGGAAGTAGTGACTAGTAAGCTGACAGCTGGAAAGTACCTGAATAGGTGGGCAGACAGAGTGATGACAGGCAGCAATTGGAGGGATTGGTCGAAGCGAAGAGCAGCACTGGCTGTGACGCCCGAAATGCGGGGAAGGCCGATCATCACGTGAGTTGGTGGAGGGTGTTTACAAGGCTACGGATAGGTACTAGTACAGTGTGTGGAAATGGATGTGGGGGTTGTAAACGATTTAAGGTATAATTCTTGGTCACATAAGGTAGTATGCTGCCTCTCTCAGCTGCCCGTCATGCTCTGTTCGCGTGCGTTGGGCGCATTGTAGGGCCCTTGTTCATGGAGTGCCGCCTGGTCGAGGCACCACTGCTCCAAGTACCAGGTTATAAGTCAGAAGACCTTACCTCCTGCTATGCTCGAACTCACACCAGGCGCCGTGGAATAGGTTTGTTCGAGCTGCAGGTCCGAGGCCCTAGGCGCGAATTGATGCGAGACGTAAACGGCCTCTCCGGAAGACCTCCGAAACCTCTAAGCAGGAAACTGGGTATCCAGTGTTGCCAGAGGGCCGCAGTATACTGGCAATCTGCTATATTATGCTCCTTAATCCGTCCTGCGGCGCACCTCACGCTCCTGGGTGTTGATACCGGAGCCCGAAATAGCATCCATGACCAACTGGCGTAGTTGGCTTTGCGTAGCTTCGCTGTGGAAATCCTCACGCGCTGCCAGCTCATCAATGCGCCGCTTGAACTCGGGGTCCACCTCGTCCATTCCTGCGCTAGCCTCCTGTTCCGACACTGTGCCCAGGTTCATCTGAATGTTCGGGGGAAGCGGCGGAGCCGGGTTTAGTGCGTCGCCAGCCGAGTCGACCTCTGGCTCTGGCACGCCTGCGACTTGCCGCAGATAAGCAGCAATTTGCGGGAAAGAGCCATCGCTCTCAATAGTCTCATAGGCTGCGAGGCCCTCGTCGTTTCTCTTGTTGTAGTCCACGCCCAGTTCCTCAACCAGGCATTTCGCAATGTCGAGGCTTTCCGTCACAAACAGGCAGGTTTCACCATCCTCGTCGAGCAGGTTAACGTCCACGTTGTAGTCCTTCACAAGAGCGCGTAGCAGGTCGATGTGTCCGTAAGAAGCCGCAGCATGGAGTAATGAATATCCGTGCTCATCCTGGTTCGAGGCGATGGAGGGGTTGGACTGCAATAGAGTCAGGACGGCGCCCGGATTATCGGCGGCCAGAACGTAAGGGTTGGGTTGAGTCATAGCGCCGGTTTCACTAGTCGGAGAGGAAATATGAGTCAGTCCTGATAGTGTCTGGTGGCTTCGACAGGTAGTGCCGTACCTTGAGTCACACAATAATTCCAAATGAAGTGGTAATGGAGAAGTGAAGGCAGGATGTGTTCAGTGAATCGAGATGGGCGGATGAAAGTGGCGCGGGCGGAAAAAAGCGCTTTTTCAAAAAAGGATCGCTGCCCCGCATCTTCGATAAGAAACTCCTACTTTGGGACCCCGATCGAGGCTGACGGTGACTCAACTTTTTTCTCTCATTTTTCGTCGCGCAAGGCTGTATCTGTATCATAGCTTGGGATAAGCTTCTGCTTGGGAAGGTCGAGCTTGCTCTGTCAAAACCTAAGGCAATTCCTCCCTGGCCATATCGACAACACACCGCGCGTGCCTTCTGCCTTCTCCCCCACCTCCTCCCGCATCCCGACCCTTGATTCCCTCATTTTCACCGAGTGCAACAGACGGATTGCCTAATTTTCTGGATTTGATACGCGCGAACCCGACAGATCACAATGGTGCAGCAGGACGAGCGAGAAGTCGCCGAGCTGGTCAACAGCCTGGAGGCCGCCAGCAGGAAAGGCACAGCTCACGGGAAGAAGTCGGGATTCAAGTGCAAGAAATCTACCTTTGACGTTGAGAAAGCAGACAAAATCAAGGTGCATTCGTGGAAATTTATGGACTGGGATTACAAACGCGACGATCTGCCGACCTATGCGCGAGGACTGTTCACCACCCAGAGGAAGGATGGCGTACAGGAGATTGCGGTTCGCGGATACGACAAGTTCTTTAATGTGGATGAGGTGAATGACACAAAGTGGAGGAACATTGAGATGAACACTAGGGGTCCCTACGAGCTCAGTGTGAAGGAGAACGGTTGCATCATATTCATTTCCGGTCTTGAGGATGGCACTTTGTTGGTCTGCAGCAAGCATTCCACGGGTGTTCGTTCCGATACAAACCTCAGCCATGCTCAAGCTGGTGAACGCTGGGTCGAGCGACATGTCAGTTCTGTTGGAAGGAGTGTAAAGGACTTGGCACGAGAGCTGCGCAGACTGAATGTCACCGCAGTAGGCGAGCTGTGTGATGACTCTTTTGAGGAGCATGTCCTTGCCTACGACGAAAGCGCTTCGGGTATCTATCTACATGGACTCAACTTCAACGTGCCCCAGTTTGCCACGCAGCCTAGCTCGGAAGTACACAAGTTCGCCGATGCCTGGGGTTTCAAGAAGGCCAACTTTGTTGTGTATGAAGACCTCGATCAGGTCAAGAAATTCCTCGACAACTGCGCTGAAACAGGCACCTGGGATGGCCGCGAGACCGAAGGGTTTGTGGTCCGATGCCACATGGGCGATAAAGGACGGGCGCCATACCGGGATTGGTTCTTCAAGTACAAGTTTGAAGAGCCCTACTTGATGTACAGACAGTGGCGCGAGTGCACAAAGGCAGTCATTGCAGGAAAGGTTCCTAACATCAAGAAGCACAAGAAGATCACTGAGGAGTATCTCCATTACGCGCGGAGACAGCTCGCAAAAACTCCTGGTCTCGCACAGCAGTACCAGCAGAACCACGGCATCATCTCTTTGAGAGAGGGTTTCTTGCAAGAGAGAGGCCTCAACGGATCTGAAATCATCCAAATGGAGTCTGACGAATCCGGTGATGTGACGCACGACGTGATTCTTGTCCCCATTGCTTCACTGGGCTGCGGCAAGACGACCGTGGCTTTGGCTCTCTGCAAGTTGTTTGGATGGGGACAGGTGCAGAACGATAACATTCCGAAGCAGAAGAACAAGCCAAAGAAATTCTCCTTGGACATTACCAATCTTCTGGCCCAACATCCTGTGGTAATAGCAGACCGGAACAACCACATGCGACGCGAACGGCAGCAACTCATAGAGGATGTATCGGTTGTGATTCACAAAGCTCGCTATGTCGCGCTCCAGTACGTCCACGAGCCCAAAGGACAATTGCTTCCTGGCATCCGCGAGGTAACGCGGAGACGAGTCCTTGACCGGGGAGACAACCACCAAACCATCCGGGCGGGAAGCAAGAATCCAGAGGAGGTCATTGGAATCATGGAAGGTTTCCTGAACCGTTTCGAGGCAGTCGACACCGATCGTGAGCCAGACTGCTACTTCGACCAAGTAATTGACCTGGATGTCGGTGCTTCTTCGCGTGAGAATCTGGAGACCGTGGTGAAAGCGCTACACTCGTTCTATCCCAAGCTCGTGAAAGAGATTCCGACGGCCGAGCAACTGGATGACGCTATCTACTGGTCGATGAACGAATACCAAGTGCAGCTGGACTGGAGCCATCAATATGGATCCCAGAAACCGAAGAACAAGAACAAGAATCAGAACCAGAACCCCGGCAGCCCTGCACCCACAGCCGGTCCAACCCCCGAAGATCTGGCCAAGAAGATCGAGTACTTCAACATCTCCCTACCTCCTGCAGAGGTGAAAAATATCCTCGAGTCTCTGTTTCCCCCGTCTACAGCCCCCGAACAAGCACGTCTCTACAGACAGCTCATCAACAGCAGACGTGTACAGCCCACATTCCACGTGACATTGATCCACCGCGCCTCGAAGAAAGAACATCCCGGCATTTGGGACGAATACGTCCGCCAGTACATCGAGAAAATGAAGAGGAAGCCCGAGTCTGATCCCACCGTCACCCCAACGCTGGCTCCGGCTCGCGTACGTCTTGAGCGTCTCATCTGGGACAACCGTCTCATGACATTCGTAGCGCGGATATTCCCACCAGAGGACCAGAACCTGGCGGAATGGCCGTGCGCAAACGAGACGCCCCATGTCACCGTAGGAACTGCGTCGCCCGACGTGAAGCCCAAAGAGAGCAACGACCTGCTGAAGTGGTGGCATGAAGTTGGCTCGGGAGGAGAAACCGGGCTTTGGGAGGCCGAGATCCCAGGCGTGAGGGTTGTAGAGGGGACAGTAGGCGTGGTGATGAGTCGGGGCAAATAAGTTAATGACTGATGACGACGAGTCATGAGTGATGATTGCAAGAGAAAAGTACATACTTAGTTATTATAGACGAAATCACCTGGTTTGGCATGCAGTATCTATCCTTTGCTCTATTGGACGTATCGAACAACCAGTAGAATCAAATCCGCTGTGGAAATGGTAAAAAGCAGACGAAGAATTAAGGGCTTAACAAACCATGGTTATCTCATCATACTTGAGTTGTCTTGGATGTGTGTTCTATCTTCAAGTTATAGCTGGAAAGCTAAGTTCTTACTCTCTCATACTTAAACTGTACTGAAGTCTCTAAGAAAATTCACCACATACAACAGAAGAAAGGGTAGTGGTTTACTGTTTTTGGTGTTCTATAATTATTCAGTTCAATCTTTTCTTTCTTTCTCCCGGATGTAGTGAATATATATTATTGAGACATCCATCACCGCATTCGCTCCGACTGACCAGCGATATATTTATTCTGACCTACTTAGTTTACAAATGAAACCCACTTCTTCCACACAACATCTCATTTCCATCCTCTCTACCCGCGCGCAGAACCTCCTTCATCCTTTCATACAATCCCAAATCTTCCACCATCCATCTATGTCCATTAGGAAAGACCACCTTCCGCAAAGCGTTGACGCACGAAACAAGAGGCTTATAATACAGCGTGAAGTACTTATCCGCCCACCGCAGAAAATCCACTTCACTAAGCACGAAGCCCTGTTTCATAACAGCCAGATCATCTGTATCGATGAAGTTCCATCTATCAAATATCGCAACAGCCCTTCGTCTTCCCCTACTACCCGGGGGGGGGGGGGGGGGGGGCAGGGCATCATAGTGGACGCATATCCAAAAGATCACCCAGAAGAATGATTCGAGATCATGCATGAATGAATGCATTTCGCCCATGAGTGCGC